TCGTGGTCGTCGAAGCGTGTTCCGGCGGGTCTCAGAATTTCTGGTCATTTTGTGTTGGAAATATCGTCTTATCTTTTGAATCAACATGTTGTTTTTCTGATCGGGAATGCTATAATTATACTACTGTTTGTCCTTTTCCGCCAAAATGATGCCGGCAATGTTACAGGAATCGGTGATTTCTATGACGATTATGTGCAACACAGTGTGGCTGGTAAACGAGGCTCCTCTGTATCTGAAAGTGAACGCACTCCTCCGCCGGTTATGGAGGATGCCGCCGCCGTGGAAGTTGGCGGTGGTGGCGAGGAGAAGCAGATTACTGTGTCTCCAGAAAGCATGGAAAAAGACGACTTGGCGGTGGCTATAGAAAATGCTTCCAGGCAGATAAAGAAATTTCAGAGGACTGAATCCGAAAAACTGAAGAGAGAGATTGCAGTGAAGCCACGGCGCGAGCTCCGGCGATCGGATACAGAAAAGTGCCGGTCGATAATCAGCTCCGGCGAGCGACAAATCACGGGGACTACAGCGTTCGATGGTACCGAGATTGATACGCTGAGCAGCGAAGATTTCAAGCGCACAGTGGAAGCCTTCATCCAAAGGAGCAAAAAATTGCCGAATTAAACGAGTTAACATATCTGAACCACTTATCAGTTGCATATAATCCCATTACCACTGTATGGAGATGTGAATTCAGGCATAAATTTCTCTTTCAATTTTCAATGCCAAGAGAACTAATGTACAAAGATGAATTGCCTGTTTCTGTAGTATTGAGGCCAACTTTTTTTTTCCTTATATTTTGGTACTTCTTTTCTTATGGGAAATTCAATAATCATGCCCATGTAGATCTCTCTCTTCTCCGAGTGTTCATGGATTAAGAATCAAAATCAGTACATGGAGCTGAGAAGCCAATATTATTTATATTGAGAAAAATTACTTTTGGTAGTAATCAAGATAATTAAAGATTAGCTATTATTCAAGTAATCCAGAGACGGAGATAGCCCCCTCCAACATTGTTCTCTGATTCACTATTCCTAGTTAATTTGTAATGTATTTTTCAGTTTCGCCCTTGCAAAAATTTTGACTCGCCCTCGCAAAATTTTGAAATTTTTTATCTTTTTTTCCATTAATAAATATTGACTCAATAACTTACACTTTAAAATTTAACCATACAAAAATCTTAGATATAAACAAAAGATCTAATAGTTACTTAAATAAATAAATAGCCTAAATTCAATCCAAAAGCAAATGACCCATTTATGAATCAGACTTTATAAATCAAGAGAAGTGGCATTTGAAAGATCAATTGGAGCTATATCAAATTGAAGTTCAGCGTAACTCTCTATTTAAAAATTTGACAACACTTCCCGATGTGTGCCAACTGTTGGCATAGCCAAGAAAATCAATAAGTTATAATCTTGTTGATAAATTGATT